CACACACACACAGAACCCACTTCAGCTACACAGCCACGGACAGCGCCACGGAGCACTCGTTCAAAGAAGGCGACATCTTCCTGGTCAAGGACACGCTGTTCCGCGGCATGTGCTGGCTGGCCGTCAAAACTTCCGAGGAGGTGTCGGAGAACAAGAAGGGGACCATACCCAGCAGTAAAACGTGAGTTTGTTAGTCTGTTTGTCCGTCCATCTGTCTGTTTGCCTGTCTATCTGTGTGTCTGTGTGAGGGATGTATCAAAAACACACTGTTCCGAGGCATGTGCTGGCCGTTATGACATCTGTTTGTTTTTGTGTGTGTGTTTAATGTGTGTGTGTGTGTGTGTTTAATGTGTTTGTGTGTGTTTAATGTGTTTGTGTATGTGTGTATGTTTCTGTGTTTGTTTATTTGTGTGTGGGATGTGTCAAAGATAAGCTCTTCCGAGGCATGTCCTGGCTGGCCGTCAAAACTTCCGAGGATGTGTCAGAGAGCAAAAAGGGGACCATACCCAGCAGTAAAACGTGAGTCTGTTAGTCTGTTTGTCTGTCTGTGTGTCTGTGTGTCTGTCTGTCTGTGTGTCTGTGTGAGGGATGTATCAAAAACACACTGTTCCGAGGCATGTGTCGGAGAACAAGAAGGGGACCATACCCAGCAGTAAAACGTGAGTCTGTCAGTTTGTTTGTCCGTCTGTCTGTCTGTCTGTCTGTCTGTCTGTCTGTTTGTTTGTCTGTCTGTCTGTCTGTTTGTCTGTCTGTTAGTGTCTGTGTTAGGGATGTATCGAAAGTACACTATACCGAGGCATGTGTTGGAGAACAAGAAAGGGACCATATTTTACAGTAAAACGTGAGTCTGTCAATTTGTCTGTTTGTCTGTTGTTCATTTCTACTCTATTCAAGAGGAAGTTTCCTCATCCTTTTCCTTCTTCTTTTACTTCTTTTCCTCCACTCTTCATGTAATATTAATTTGGCCTTTACCACAGTCCCAAAATGTGTGGATAACACCTTATGATATTTAATCTTTCCTTTCTCTCAGTGCGGAGCTGCTCAAGTCCCAACAGAAGGAAGACGCGGACAAGGAGAATTTCCCCGCCAGGGGGCGTGGCAGCCTCTTCAAGAGGAAGTCTGCTTCTCCTTCTTCTTCTTCTTGTTCTTGTTCTTTTTCTTCTTCTTCTCCTTTTCCTTCTCCTTCTTCTCCTTCTCCTTCTCTTCTCCTTCTTCTTCTTCTTCTTCTTCTTCTTCTTCTTCTT